CGAAGGATTCAATTCTTCGGATTTACATGCATAGAAATCAAAGTTTCTTTGGCTTGCAGCGAAGCAGATTCGTCGATAATTTCTGCAAATCTGGAGTGGTGAAAGTTTCAGTGAACTCTGGCTTGAGGTCTAATAATACTAAGGTAATCATCAACAACACTGAATTCCGCAATAATTCTGGGTTTGCCGAGAGCACCTTCACAATACGTGGTATGAACGAGATAATAATCCAAAATAGTGTTTTTAACACCAACTTTGGTGCCACAGATGGTTCTCATGTCCGAGTACAAATGCGGTCGAGTAAATTAACAATCAACAAAGTAACTTTCCATCAGTCTAATACGGAAAGAAAACAACCATTTCATGGTTTTTTTACAGCAACAAGCTTTGGAAGCATTTACATCAATGAGACCTCATTTATTTCGGACCTTTTTAGCGTCGGCAGTGTGCCCCTTATTCTTGTTAAAGGTGCGCGCGAGGTAGTGATGGATGATTCCGTTTCAATCAAAGCTCCATTGAGCACCAAGCTTAAGATGGATAATTTCACACACTTGGAAATGGGAGAGAACATTGGCTCATCGAGGATAACCTCATTCGCATTTAGCACCGAGCCGTGCCCCATGCGATCATACAGCATACATCGTGGCAGCGGCAAGGGCTTTACTCTTGAGGACAACATCACGTGCTATACCTGTCCAAATGGGGGCGATTGTTCATCTTCTCTTGCTGCACGACCCAACTTTTGGGGCTATCCTATCGGGGACAAGGTTTATTTTAAGCTATGCCCGGAAGGTTACTGCTGTCCAACTGTCAGTCAAACGTGCCCTTATCACCATGATAGTTATTTACATTCTGGTTGTCAAGGAAACCGGACTGGGATCCTTTGCGGACAATGTAAAAAGGATTTTAGTGATGGTCTGTTCACGACACAATGTCATCCGGTCAGAGAATGTAATCAGGGCTGGTTGTTCTCCATTCTCATAATAGTGGGAACATTGTTTGCTTTGTATCTCATCACAAAACCTCCATTGTGTGAAAGATTAATGACAAATCTCACTTGGTTTCTTCCGAACCATAAACAAGATGATTACAACACCTTGAACGATGTCAAAAAACCTCAGACCTACTCCAAAGACGCATTCTTGAAAAGCCTATTTTATTTCTATCAAGTTGCTGGAGTCTTAACCGCTTCGTCTTATGGTGTGCCTCATCTGTTAAAAGATAAAATTGTTTTACCAATCACAACCCTATTGAATTTCCAGATTTCTGTCAACAATGGCTGGAAGATCTGTCCTCTAACGGGTATCACACCGCTATCAAAAACTCTCTTCCAGCTCGCTTTTTTGACAGCCATATTCATCTCGATTCCAGTGATGTACCTTCTTCACAGCGGTTTGAACAAACTACGCAGGCGCAGCCCAGCCCTTCCACCAGGTGGTCCTTACCTAGGAGCGGCCCTTGAGATGTTTTTGCTTGGTTACTCAGCGCTGACCGTGACCGCCAAAAATCTGCTGTACTGTGTACCAATACAGCACGTGTCTCGTTGGTATTACGACGCACAATTCACGTGCTATCAGTGGTGGCAAAGTGCTTCTTTAATAATAATCGCCCTGTACTTGTTCCCGTCTATATTTTCACTGTATTTTTCTACGTTTCGACTGTATCAGGGGAAAATCTCAGCGAAGATGTTCCTATTGGCATGCGTATGCCCCTTTCCGTACCTACTCTATATTTTCATCTTGCATGTTAAGAAAGTAACTACACAAAAGTACGTCTGTCAAGAAATGACACCCAAAACCAACACCACTCTTTGTGGAGAGGAAGACACTCATTTTCCCAGTCGGACGGAAAAATCTCTTATTGAAGTCCTCTGTGGTCCATTTTCCAAGCCACAAAACTATCAATCAGCTGGTAGTATTTACTGGGAGAGCATTCTTATCGGCCGTCGATTTGTCATCATCTTAATTAGCTTGTTTCTGGAGCATGCGTTTTTGCGGTCTGTGTGCCTGACAATCATTTGCCTCACGTTCTTGCTGCATCACCTTTACAAGAAACCCTTCGCGCACTTTAGCGCCAACGTCGTTGAGGCCATTTCGCTAGCAACATTAGTGGTCATAGCAATACTGAACGTCGGTGTGGCATCATATTTCTCCGTGGGAAGCGAAGTTGGCGGTGTCAATCAGAAGTATATCACTTATTTTCTCTTGATAGAAGCAATTCTGCTGGGAATTGTGCCTCTCATATTTGCAGTGTTTGTCTCCATGTCCCTTGTTTTGCAGCTTGTGAGGGTAGTGATCATTCTAATCCAAACCGTTCTTACGAGATGGCCCTTTGTGAGACCAAGATACAATACGCAGTTGTCACTGGGAAATCAAGGACAACCTTTACTTCCTACTAACACATTATAGTTTTAAGATAATTTAACGAGGCCAAAAATTGGTGAAAATTGCCGACTTTAAATCTTTTATCAACGGTCTGATTTCTGAATTCCTCACTGAAAGCAGAATTATGTCTCATAAACCAAACAATTTTCATCTTTGCAAGCGAAAAGTGTATGTGATGATTAACCGCGTTTTAGAAACCTAAACGTCAAAAAAATTATCTTCAAATGTGCTCAAACACTCGCCAGTGAACGAGGCCATTTGAAAAACAACTTAGTAACCTGGCCATGTTTGTAAAAACTACAACGCTTGCATACAAAAAGTTCCGCGTTGGTTGTGCGAAAAACTCAATCCCAGTGTAGCACGGTATTATGAACTTCTGAATTGTTCAGAGAGATCGCCAATGTGGCCATTTGAAAAAACGTTTTTTGAAAGATGCGGTCTTTGGAATCTCAAAATTTGCACAGGGTCAAAAGTTCTAGAATACACTTAAACGGCAGAGAAAATTTTTTAAGTATATACAGCACCGAAACCGAAAAAAAAAAGTTCACTTGTCAATGTACCAAAAAGTGGTAGAAAATTGTTGACGCGTGATTTTGTCTCTTCGGCTGATTGGATGTGAATAGTACTTGCCTATCATTTCCGAACCAGTTTATCAGCGAGCGCGAAAAGCACTATTTACGTGTGGTATGTGCTAAAAACTTATAGTTCCTGGAGAGTATCCTTCCTGTAATACACAATTTCTATTCAGATAGCAGAGTGACAAGAAGTCTTTTCAGTGAGGTTTCCCTATAAGTAAATAGATAAGTAGATAAGTAAATTACCAAAAAGAAATGCTTTTAATTGTGCTAAACCCTGCACTAAAATGTGGTCGCACGAAGAAACGTTACCAGAGCAAAGAATACCTGAACCTCAACTCGACCATTTCGAAAGAATGCCGAAATATGTTTAAACTTTTTCTGCCTTGTCGTCCACTTATGAAAAAAGACTTTCTCTTGTTTTATCGTTTTTGAGTGGAGTAAATAACAAAACACTCAAACGAAAAAAAAAAACCCTGGGAATAAAAAAAGGCACTTGAACAGTTTCGGCAACTTTCGGGACGCCCAGAAGATGTATAGACATTTGCTCCGTAATAAATTAGTTGTGTTACTGCATCTGTCGATGAAAATAACATGGTATCTAAAGAAATAGTTAAAAAAAACTATATAAATTTTTGTAAGGGAGAGTTTGTCTGCCGAAATTTTTCATGAACACTTTCCATTAGAGTATTTCAAGTAAGAATTTCCAGTCACTTTTTTCACTCGATAAGCCAAGTTAATCGAATGTAGGAAGCGAATTCAACGATTCAATTTCGATTTAATTGCGCTTAGATCACCCACATGCAAAGAGAGGTTATGTTTAATAAATTTTTAAATGTAAATCAAGAGGATTAGGAGAAGTTGTTTTACGGAGTAAATTGTGGAATATTTGAAACACCTTTCCGTTAACCAAAACAGTGTGGCCAGATTGACTGAACTTTCCATTTTGCCTTGAACTATTGTACGTCACCTGGATTCGTTGAGTTAGCTTTTTAAGTGATTGCAACAAAAATTATTGGTAAAAAAAATTGTCAGCTGCTAAGGTAATTAAAATACACCCAAAATACGTTGCTATGCGTTTCAATGTGTGACGTAATTTCTCTGACCCAAATCAGCTTTATAAGGAATTGGTTGCGAGACGGGATGTGTTTTGTTCCTTGTTTTCATAAGGTTCAGATGTCATCTGTATATTGGTGGGGGCCCCTCTCCGTTTCTCTCTCAGCTTCTTGACAATTGAGACAGTAAATTTCCCATACCACAAGTTCCTCATAATTTCTGTGAGCTTAGAATTCAGGGAACTTATTACCAGTCATGGCACATCTTACACAAAAACAAATACGATAAATTGCACATCCTGTTGCGTTATCTTCAACTTTACTTAATTGAGTTAACTTCACTGGATACAAGGTGTCAAACCATCACAACCATTTACAACTAAAAATTACACTTAAATAAGACTTGTGACAAGCAATAAATATAAGTCAATTAGTTATTTATCCACTGTAGATGAAGCTGTAACAACCTGAGGGCGAGTCTCTTAGACTACTAGAATTTAAAATCAGTTAACTTGTACGACAATCATATATCTAACCGCATAACGTCACAAAATCACTAGCAGTTTAACAACAGAGCTGACTTAATAGTGCAAAGTATTTCCTTTTCTTAGTTAAAGGTGTCATTCTATGAGGGGAATCTTTGTTTACATTTTTTGCTGGTGGGTATAAGCTCTTGGTTTTCCCATCAAGCCACAAAAATGTTGGTTCATCTCAAATTCTCTTAGCCACACGATGTTAAGATTAGGAATTTTATAGAGAATGTATAGGTTCATTAGCGATTTTTTCACCCAGAAAGTTGGCCGTTCCCGTTGATGAATATTTCATGTGTTTTACTCGTAGAAAGACCTCCTATTGAAGAAAACACTTCTGCATCTTTGCAGGCTGCAATTCTGTCGATTGTTATCAATTTTACTGAAGAGTCATGATTCGTCTCACGTTCTGACTCAAAGCCAGGCACCTACACGAGATCTCTGTAGCTCTCTCACCCTTTACGGCGAAAACTTTATCTTCACTGCATACATCGTGATTTTATTTTTTTCTCTGTGCAAAATGAAAGATTCCGTATCAGTGTCAAAATACACGTGACACACGTGTTTCACCTTCCATTTCTAATACTACCTTCACGCGAAAAAGGCACTCACAAGCACTGTGCATAAAGTCTGTCACCTCTCTGACCAACAACGAGGAATTCGTCAGAAAAAACAGTGTTATAGACAATGACCCGACAGTGAAGCTATTAGCACACTATTTTATCCACTTTACTTAAGGACCTTTCAGATAATAAATTTCATTGACAACAATTGAAAAACATAACAAAGACGGCATAAGCTACGCCAATCGCGTTTAAGAGGTGTGTGACAGTGTGACAGTGTGATCTCACTCCACATTCCGCCGCAGATCAGCCGTCGTTCGCTTGCGGGTAATGGAATGAGCCCCTTTCCAGGTGGATATCACAGTGATATGACAACCAGTTTCCCATATAATATCAGTATTTAAATAGACATTTAGGGTTGAAACCCATCGTGGATTATTATACTCTTTCATTCATATATATTCTTATTGGACAGCTACTGTAAATCACCGAATTCAATATTCAGCTACAACAGGTCATGATACGACATCAGCAGTGTAAACTGGTCCATTCACAACATGATCAACAACGCATTTCTCGTCACCAATCATGAGGTTCTCTGAACCGACAGCACGGCGATTCCAGGCTCTATAAATCGCCATGGAGAATCCTTATTTTGATCTGGTAAATGGGAAGGTTCAACAAGGCTGGCTTAAGCTTGACCTTTCTAACTTTGTCGTTCTCTATTCCTTAATTCTAACTACGTTACATATATTTTGTAGATGTAAACTAGCAATAAATAACAATGAAGATTGACGTCTCAGCTGAGCTGCGGCTCGCTGGACTCATACGCTGGTCAACAGCGTTTGCCTTTTTCTGTACACTTCTTAATTTAGCGTCAATATATAGCTAAGCGCATGGCCATTCAAACTTCCAAATTGACCCAATGAAAATTAAATACAAGTAAAAGCAAATGTGTAGTCAGGTAGTACTTTTGCCCATATAATGAACAGAGGCTGCGATATTCTCAGTAGGCAAAATTACCATAACCACGAGAAGGGATCAAGGATAAAAATGCACAGCTGTGCACAGCCGGTATAACTTTAGCAAAAACCGACTCCCATTATTTGCCCCCAAACTCTACTTTGAATAAAAATAATACATCCACTTTAAAATAAAAACCTCAAATAATGATAAGAAATCATTAAGATCCTAAAACAGTGATTAACGCCATTTTTGTTTGGGAAAAAATCAAATTACATCTTACGCAGTCTAATAACTAGCACTGTTACTCCGCCACTAGGCGATACTTAAGCGTTTGCGTACAGCTGCCTTGTCATCACTAGAGTCATCTCCACTTTCTTAGATATCCCCAGCTATAATAATAGGCCGATGCAAAAAACAGGGTAATTAAATCTCACTCTCCAATTCAGGGTCTCGTGTTTTTCTCCTTCTAAAGAAGAAGGAGCTTTTGACGGGTGGCGGTCCTTGAAGCATAGGGACCTGATTCTTGTGTGAGATCACAATCTGAGAAATATTAAGACAGCAAAAGGAAAATTGTATTAGTTGGCAAGGACACAAAATAAAAACATAAGAAAGAAAACGAAAGCAACCAGAGGAGTCAATTATAACGTGGAAGTATCACCAGGAGCCAACGAGAACTCAGAGGGAATACCAGTAAACTATCTAAAGAGCGTGAAAACGCTAGTGACAAAGTCGAGATTGGTTTTCGTTTTTAATCTAATTGGTTGAGAAAGTGGCGCAGGTTTCCTGGACCAATCACATCACGAAATACAGCAAAACCAGAGCAATTCCGATTTCGGATTACTTTCGACACTCGATTAGAAAATTGCTCTCTATAAAGAAACAAACTTAAAATTAAGCAAACACAAATTCACAGACACTCCAAGAAAAGAAAAAAATTCGCAACCTTTGCACCCGAGTGCTATTTTCCTCTAATGGAGTTACGATCTTAAACAGCTATCGATAGCCGATAGAAACCTTAAGAAAGCATAATAGCAGCGTTCAATTTTGATTCTAATGTTTTAAAACAACTTGCGGAATACCAGACAGTACTTCGACCAAGAATGTTTCTCTTACCTCGGCTGGTGGTTGCATCCATGGCTCTCCATCAATCTGCATTGGAAACAGCTTTTTGGTCCTGTTGCGGTCGAAATAATAAAGGATGTTTAGACTATAGAATCCTTAAAGTAGCACACAACTCATCAACCGAAGAAAAAAACTCTGTAAGTTTCTTTTAAAAGCGATTAAATAAATTCTGCTGTCTCTCACAGCCCCTGTTTTATCCTCTCATTGGTGGAGAACAGCCAAAGCCACAGCAAACCAAGATTAGAATCTTCGTGAAACTGGATACCCACCTTATTACGACTGAGGAGCATTGAGCCAATCTAAGGCCATGGGCTCTGACGCCGACAATAATCTGACTGACAAACAGAGTGTTTTCAAGTCCGACCACCTCCAACTTCCCGTCTCCTATGTCTAACATAAAATAAACAAAAAACGTGCAAATGCCATCTAAAATTATTCAAAATGCTTATCATGGAGGTGAGTAGCGACGAAAAAATTTACCTTTAAGCAAAAGGAGGATGATCACCAAAGAAGAAAGGCAAACTACAGCAAAAGACGACTCTGTAAACTAACCTTGTACAGCCCAGTCCAGTTCATTTCCTCCTGCTTTCGCACGTGACCGTCTGGCCTTCTTCTTGTCCGTTTCACCCCAGAGGTTTGCTCCACCGTATACGCTGGGAATATTTACCACAGCAATTCCTTCCAGCTGAGGCAGTGCTAATGGTGTATCATCACACTAAAATAACAGATGGATCATTATCAGACTATTTTGAGGTACAAACCGAAAGAGCAATGGATCTTTTTTTTAATATCAAGTTAATACGGAGTACGAAGTGGATGAAAATAGTTGGGGAAAAGAGGAAAGATTTCCCAAGTTACCAACAGCTAATAGTGCAAAACTATAGTGCCTCGGAGACATGGCTCAATCACTGTTGAGGCCTGCAATCTTTAGTTGCTGATTTTTCTATCATTTCCCGCAACTGCTTCACTGTCAGTGAATTTTAATTGTTCACCATCATCCTGAGAGAATCAAATCGTCACCGAACGCAAAATTAAATAAGATAATTTTGGTATTACAGTCCCCTTAAGCAACATAATTCTTACCTTTAAAGGCAAATATACTTACAATGATTTCAATTTCCTCGTGAAGATTCTTGCAAGTTGCTGAAAGGGTCTCCGATGTTCCACATTCAAAATAACGAAATTTATTTTTTAACCTTCAAAGTTGGAAAAAAAAAAAATTTTATTCATCTTTAATAATTTAAACAACTATTCTCTACCAGTAGCAAAATTTAGTAAAATTTAATACAAATGCCTTGTATAAGACCTTTATCTTACGAGTCTGATTTGCAGAAAAGAGCTCTGAATTACTTGTTATGTTATCTCCTTTGTAAAAATATAATTATCGTCACCAAAATTGAAAATATATAGATTCTCTGCAACACTCCGTGTTTATTTGGCCCTGAATGTAGTACAGCGGTACCAATACATGAAATATTTTCATTCCCTTCGCTACAGACATCGCCAATATTATTAAAGAGTGATAATCTACCAAGTTTCAAGTTTCAATAGTTTTTTTTTTTAATCTGTTAATTCACCTGCTGTTGAACTTTTCAGGATTCTTTTCTCTCTGCAAATGAAACTTGAGCGCAACTGACGCATCCTAAAAATAAATAAAAGCAATCAATAATAAAATTTTCTGCAACTTTATTTTCGTTTAACCAAACTCTCCTCAGAACTGAAACTCTCCGAAAAAAAAGACATACCACGCCAATTGAGAAGTAGTTGTTGATGATGTCCAGTGGAGGTGGATCTCCACTGTCTTCTTTGTTAGTTTGCTTGAATGAGACGGACCATCTACAAAATAACAAAACGTGTAAAGGTTAAGATCATCAAACTGCTAGAAAAAGTCCAACTTTTTACATCAGGTCCTCAACATCATTTGTTTTTTATAACTCTTTCTTTGGCAAATCAGTCACAATACTAAGCATTTGTAAACAGCGTTTTATAAGTTGTGGTTCTCAATTAAATTCAGGTGAAATGATTTGAAATTGGCTTGTTTGTAATTTCCTCAGCTCAAGATACATTGCCATAATCCTTCAACAAAGAAACGTACTAACCAAACAATTTGGAAATCATTTTCATCTGAATCGTTTCAAACTAAAACACGTACGTCTTCGTTTCAAAGACAAGGCTCCAGCTTATACGGAATTATGTTCGAGAGAGGGCTAGTGCTAATCTCTGATTTATATTCTAACTTAGCTTTAATTGTTCTGAATGAGAGCATACTGAATGAAGGACAATAAATCTGTCCGCAGAACTAAAAAATCATATCATGAAATAACATCAACACAGAGTTAGCTTAACCGTGTTTTGACGAATAGTCATGCTGGAGATTCACTACAAACGAAAAAAAATAATGCAAAAGTTCATTTAGACGCAAATCGGAGCTGTCTCTCGAAATTAAGTTTGAAAAAGAGGCAACCTCTGACCATGCGGTTGATTTGACTGTAAGCATAGCAAATCCACGAGTACCTGTCAAGACTTACAACCGAGCTCTTTTGAATCAGACTCAACACCTTGGAAATACTTCCACCTTCATATCCTGAGGAGAAAGATGTACAACAAGCAAATATTATCCTTCACAAAATACCGGTGGTTCCTCTTTTCTTCCGCAAAAAAAGAAATCTACCGACAACGTATTCCCGCGGTTTTACAACTACGAAGACCTACACGCAAGACATTGAATCTTCATACTCCTGAAAGCAAGCTGGTCACAGTAAATATACAATTACTACTATTACTGAAACAATCGACATCATTGCCTGATGAGGACTAGCAGTATTGCAGTCGAAACGTCGCGATCAACATCAAAAAGCGACTCTATCGTGAGACAAACGAATAAAGTTCATCTCCTATCTTGCACCAACAGTAACCACATATTTTATTACATACAACTACTATATAACCCCAGAAAGAGATAGATTGAACTGGAAATATTTCATCAAATTCTGCACAGCTGCTCAGTTATCTGTTCGAGAATCTTTTTCCTCTTATAATAATTGAGTAACAGTAGGAGCTTCAAAACAGCTTCATCCAACGTTTGAGTGAAAGAAGAGCTGTTCACTCATTTTTAGTTCGTTCGTTATTACCTCCTCCCCACTTCAAGCATCGAGCTAAGTCGTTTCCAGTTCCTGTGAATAGATAATCATAGGTAAATTAACCCTCAAAATCCCACTATCTCACTGATATTACCAATTCTCCCTGTAATAAAAACTTTAATTCTCAAACGTGATTGGTTATCATCATCCCGATTTGAGCACTAATAGGACACTGTACGCGTCATGCTTGCAATTGGACAGTGTTATAGGACAGTTAACACGTCATACCTGTCTAAGTGGACAGTACGCGTCATGAGCACGTGCTGTTGTCGCAAATTTCACCGAGCTAACTTAAAACCGTTGCCTAGTTTCTTTTTCAAATTTTTTCACAGTTTTGATCAATTGGTAACAGGACTTCGTGTCGTCCAATTCTGTCTGTAATCAGTACCCGTGATTAACGGATCGGACTCCCGCTTCGCGGTCGTTCGACTTTGTTAACCACCCGTATGATTACAGACCGAATTGGACTCCAATCAGTCCTATTATCATTATCAATTTAAAAGGGTTTGTTGCCAAATCAAGAAGAAAGCACTATTCTCACCCCTCATCCACTTTATATGTTTTCTGTTTTCATCAGTTGTTGAGTGGAAGGAATATCACTTGTGGGAGTTTAACGGTTTTAAAAAGGAAAAACGCCTACTTCGACATTATCAGATTGTGGCGATAGGACCAAATGTGTCAAGGCCACCGTAACTGACAGAGCATAGTTGACTGGGCTAAATAAGATGGCTTTACAGGGTGTACAGGGAGTCCCTGTGAAGCGAGACTTATAGCGCAAACCCGGATTGCTTTCAGCACTAAATTTCAAAGTAGCTCTTTGATGTACAGGGTAATTTATTAATATCAACTGACTTGATAACGTAAATTGGCCACCGCAGAGTTTGAAAGCTGACGTTTCAAGCGTTTCGCCATTCGCTCTGATAAAGGGCTCACGCTCGAAACGTCAACTTTCAAACTCTCTCTTTGCGTGGCTAAGTTCGACTGTACCTATTACTCACCAAGAGGTAAAACAGCAACTGGTGGTGGCTTCTTCATCTGTAATTTATCTGTTCATGAGAAAAGGGAGTTGGGTCACCATTTGACTGATTGTGATGTATACTTTCATCTCTTTATTTAACAGTGCTAGTTGCTGGGGTTGCTAGCAACAATTGGTAGGCATTATATTATCGACTTAGAGTGTGGGAACAAAATACTTGTTTCTCACTGATTTTTAGACTGAGCTGAAACAGCTCATTCCTTTCATCCACAGCGTGCTCAAAACACAACCAAAGGGAATCAATTTAACTCAAGCGTAACTTGCCCACGTGCATTGTAAACGTCGTGCTTTTCGGAAAAAATTATCACTAAGCCTAGCACTAATCTTAACAAACACTGAAAGGAGTGTTCTTTCCTTATCAAATTTGCGAGTAGAAATAACAATAACATTACATACACTAAATAACACGAGCTACATGAAATGCGAAAATTAAACTTCTCCGTAGAGGACAAGTCTTTAAGTGCACATTTCGTTTCACAGTGAATACAAAAACTTGTCAATGAGCTCACCTATGGTGGCTAGAACCCAGCCTACTGTTCCATCTCCGCCACAGCATAGGACACGGAAATCAGGCACACTTTGAAAGAACTTCAGTCTGAAAATAAGACAACAGTGAAACAAATAAAAAGGGGAACCTCTGGTCTGTATGGTAACTCAAGACTGAGGGGTCTCGGTTCAAGTTCTGATCAGGGTGGCTATGTTATATTCTTAGGCTTTACTTTCACACAACCTCTCCCAATCCAGGAGTATAAGTGGCTTTTAAATGAGTGTACAGTGCTGCGCTTGTGATCTATGATGGACTACTCTCCCATCAGCGAGGAATAAAAATTTTCTAAACGAACAAATAATAACAACAGCAAAGTAAGACACATACCCTGGTGTGGGTCCACCATCGCCAAGATTGAAGACCTGCCGCGGATTGAGTAAGTACTGAAACTTGTGAAGTAATCTGATGGTAGAAAAGGCGGCCTATCAATTAACTACACTTAGTGCCGACCGAAGTAAAAATCACAAGTAGGGTAAGATATGATCCATTGACTGACTTTTATGTTTGATAGATGAGGCGAGATGAGAAAGTAATGCAGGTTTATTGAAAGAGCATAGGCGAAACAACAAGATATACAAGTGTAGAAACTATACAATACTCTGGGACTTTAATCACACGTGATGGTGAGGTTTAGGAAAAAGAAATAACAATAGACAGCATTCATATGTTGATCATTGCAAACAAGTGGCACGGTCTTAAATGGTTTTATAGGCATTGATGGGCAAAGCCAGGTTGGCCAGAGTTTTCAAACAATCCTACCTTGCACCCTGTCGGCCACCACTCTTAGGGTTGATAAACACAGCCAAGGGATGTGTCCCGCGTAATGGTGAAATCTGAAGCGACAAATTACACACAGCTGTACATCTGTACCAATGAATACACGTATTTACATAATTTCCTATTTTAAGAGGGATTTCGATTCTTCCAGGAACCGTTTTTAATCGACTAGTACACTGAATGATCTTCCTAAAACATCTACTTTGCATCTTTGCTTTCTAGTATTCCACTAAGGAATACCAACCAATAAAAACATTTCACTGAAATAAGAGATAAATTATCCAGTCCCTGGAAAAGCAAACTGTATCAATAGCATCTTTGGCGAAAAAATCCAAGAAATGAACTGAGACGTTGTCAACAATGAACTACACAAGCTTATCTGTCATTTAAGTAACACAAAATGAGAATTCGTTATCAGCCCAAATTTTTTAGGGTACAGTAAAGGAATTAAGGGCAATTCCCCTTCATTCTGTTTCTTTACTTTCTTCTCAAAAAAATTAAATAAAACTCTTTTCACCATTATCAGTAGCTACATATGTACATGCACGCTATTTATTGTTATTTATAACTAACCTGCATTGGTATCCCCTCAAAATTGACATAAGAGTTGGCTCTCTTCCTATGAGCTTCAGGGGTGGAGTTGTCCCTTTTCCTGTCCTATGAAATTTAGACAGACTAATTACTAACACAAGAACTTTCTGATGAGGAACTATTTACATGCAAATACATGCAAGGGTAACATACGTCATAACCATGTCTACTATAATTTGTAAAGCTTCAAGGACCACAAGTAAATATGTGCCTCCAGATGTGTATCATTATCATGAGTAATAATTCATGAGTTGATTCTAAGAAGTTGAATGACCCAGCAACAAGAGCTCTCCTGTTTCAAAAGCAGGAAGCAACTAGGAGTATTGTTACTTCTCCTTCATTGGATGTTAGTTCATCATAGGTGGCCCTCGACAGACTTGTCAAGTGTCCCTGGCAGTTTGTGCGGTACAATTCATATTCCTACCCTGCATGAAGAGGGAGCTGCCTGAGGAATTTATCATATTTCCATGACACAACACAATCTTATCGCAAAGGCCCAAACAAAGACCTCTTCAACCAAAGAACAGTGTGTTGACAACTACGCCATGGTGCATCTTGCACTTCCATTTACCTACAAATTTACTTTTTATCTAAGTTTAGTATGTGTGGTAGGTTAGTCTGTGAACATACCAGCCCACCAGCTGGAGAGATGCAGACTGGTGGCAAGATAAGCTCTCTGTGTTCTCCAAGGTTACACTCTGGTGCCATATGAGTTGCACATTTGTTGTGAACCTACAAAGTATGAACATTGATTTGGGGAGATAAACATGAGTTAAATTTTACTTGAAAGATTATTCTTAGTTATGTGTGAGTAGTTCCACTTTAAGTGACTGTTCAATACAAGTGGAGGACAATTTTTAAACTTATGTGAATTCATAAGCACCCTGAATCTTTCCCCACCACTCCCTTTCCCAGCACTCCCTTTCCCAGCACTCCCTTTCCCAGCACTCCCTTTCCCAGCACTCCCTTTCCCAGCACTCTCTTTCCCACCACTCCCTTTCTCACCACTCCCTTTCCCAGCACTCCCTTTCCCAGCACTCACTTTCACATTGAAATTTCCAGTTCTTAGTTTTATCTAAGTGGTTCCACTTTAAGGACTATTCAATACAGGTGGGGGACAATAAAAAGAACCCATAGGGACTCAGTCAAGGTTGACCACCACTTAATACAGGTTTGACTGCATTTGTTTTTTGATCAATAAAGACACATTGAGTGCACAACCCACCGTGACTTGACACCAAGCACAGCGTAATCCAGTAAGACAGTTGTTACTCTTGACGGCTTTACCACACTTGAAACACTTGCCAGGGCAGTTTCCTTCTGTCCAGTGATGATCCATGCTCTGCATTTGTACAAGAAAACAATTTGAGCAGATGTTGTAAAACACAAGTAACGAGTAATTACATTTATCATATGACCCTGTTGGGCCCTGCTTACAGAATCCCTAACAAAACCATAGTGAAAACTACTGTGTAGGGCCAGATGTGTTGACTTTTCAAATTTCCAAAGCTTAGTGGTCATATGATAAAATGCTTATTGACTGACTTAGTCCAGCCAGACAGAAACTATTTGGCTTTGCTCATGAAGAATGGACCTCACTGTGCTCGGTCCATACATCATGACCCTGAGCAAAACGTTTTCCCATCCAGCCCTTCCTCTCAGTCATTAAGTACATATTATGTAGCAAATCCATTTTACAACATTACGTGACTTTCCAAAGTTGAAATTACCATGAACAAAGCAAAAGAGAATCAGTTTTGCTTTGAAAAAGTAATAAATGTCACATTTTGCAAGTTCTGGGTTAAATTTTAACTGGCCCTGGTTTCCGTTGTTTAAAAACATGTAAATTTAGTGAGATTTGAAAGTTGTCTTTGGATCAGCTAAAGGAAAAAAAATGTAACCAGCATGACTGTGCAAAGTGATCACAATGAATCAAAAATTAAAACATGCCCTGGTTGAACTAAATCCTATTTTAAATAACCTAAATCAGATTATCAAATTTTCATCACTCAACTAAACAATCGTTGTAAGCAACACTACCAACTACCTACCATTTTCCCACTTCTTCTTGAAGACTTGACATATGTGGTGATACAAGATGCTGGTACTCTCTCAACACAACGCTCATGAACTGTATACTTACAAACTGTAGAAATTCAACAAAAATAAAAATCATTTTAAAGCCAAAGAAATTGAATAACTAAGTCAAGTAAAATATGTTTCACAAAACAATACAAAAAAAAACATAGTGGAAGCATTGAGCTAAAGGTGATAGCAGATGGTGACAAAATGCAAGTCAAAATTAGAGCAGTTCATTTATACAATAAACACACTTTTTTTCCAAAGCCAATGGTGTGGCAATGAAGTTAGAACACCAGACTTGTAATCTAGACTTCATACATTCCATTTCTTCACCCTGCCTCTTGCTGGTTTTCCTCTTAGTTGCCTAGAGTTTAACACAGCTGGGATCCATGCTAGTTTGCATCTATTTAAACTGTTTGTTCCATATTTTGTTCACACTTGTCCTGTAGGCCCCCTTTAAAGAGGGATGGAGGGGGTTGGGGGGAGATGAGGGATGCCAAACTGTTGGTATTAGAATAGTTTTTTGGTTTTCAAATACATTTAGATTTGGTACAAAGGCAGTAACTATTGAAAAGGAGAATAGAAAGCTACATGTATCCCTTCATAACCACCCCATCTACTGATCACAGAAGAGGTTCAGTTTAATGGGACTTAATAATCCACTTTGAATTCTGGGAGAAGATTAGGAAAGATGTAATCAAACTTTTCTTGTGCTCCGTCCACACCCCATGTAAGGTGTTCAACTGGTAAACCCATCAGACAGATATAGATATAACTATAGGATGTATGTTTATGCCAGGATGACTTACATGGGCATTGAAGACCTTGATAGCTAAGAGCAAACCCATTCAGGACATTAAGACATCTGTTACAGAAAGCATTTCTGTTGAAGCGTTTTTGACGCCACTAAAAACCAAAAAAAAAAATAAAAGAGTCTGACCTCATTGGGTGCAGATATAACTTAAGCATTAAGTGGGGCAAAACATGCGTGGATATTTTGTCTGAAGATACATGTAGTTATTATTGGTTCCAAAAAAAAATTATCTGTTTACAAAAAAGTTGTTCAGTTGAACACATGGACCTTACATTAATTGTGAGAATTGTTTTAGTCTGTAGAGAGTCACCAGCCAGTTAAGCAAGTTAGTGAAAACTTTAGACAGTCTTGAGCTCTGTCCTGTTAAGCAAATGCAAGAAATTTCTGCCACCTGAAACTAGTTTTTTAAATTATGTCATTTAATAGCTTGAATCTAGAGTCATATGGGCCAAAATAATACAAAATGCCAGCAGAAAAGGGTTAAGGTGACTAAAGAACAGATACAAACAGTAACTTAAAGTAAGTTGTTTGCATTCCCACCTGATGCTGACCATCATCGAGAATTTGCTGTGGAAAGAAAAGAATACTAATTGACTCACAGGGGCACTGAAGACTGCTGAATGATTTTTCTTATGATTAGGAATCAAATGACAGAAAGCATGAATTCTGTCAATGTATGTTTTTAAATCACTCAATTTACCATTGAGCTCCATTGTATTGCATGCAAAGAAGTCAAGTTGACAGCTAAGAAAGAGGCAGTTTTGAACAGAAAAAAAACCTGAAACATTGGAGACAAGTAAAAATAAACTAGACATAATTTCTCACTGGACTACACTGTTCAGTGATGGTGAACTTCTGCACCATGTACTTAGAAAACCTGAGTTTTAAAACAAATTAAAGTTATTTCTTAAAAATATCAGTGGAACTTAAGAAAATTAGCTTCAATGTAGCTCCATGCAATAAGTGACCACAATATAAATGTGGTCATTGTCTACACATTAAAAACTGTCATTTAACCACTCAAAGGGTCACATCAACAGGTACTCACAGTTTCTAAGCCAAGCAGTACTCTAAGTGGTATTGTGTTACGTCCTCCTCTGATCCACTCATCTAAAGAGATCTGGCCATCAGCATCATCATCCAGCTCTACCAACATGTCCTGCAAGATCTAATGTACCCCAGGTATACCAACATGTCACATTGTAGCCAACTTTAATCCATTAAATCCTAGTCATAAGGCCTCTACACAGCTTTATAACTTAGTTTACATGTTGGAATACATACATCTTTATTGCCAATAAGGAGTATCAAAGAGTTTCCACACAAGCTGATAACAAATACTGTTAAGTTATAACATCAAACAACAGTATAGTGTAAGACTAAATGAGATTAGAAAGAAGGTAAAGTTTGTCACTCAGAAATGGAATAAAGAAAGATATTACTTTTCTTGTGACAAGCACGGGACAGAGTCCCTGTGAAGAATTGAACCAAGACCTCTGACCCAGGTTGTTTGAAGGGTGGATAATGCTATCCACTGAATAAATCTCAATCTAGCACAGTAAGTTTTATTAGTACTTATCTTGTTGATTAGTGTTATCTGCCCTTTGAACAACTGGGGCCAGAATTCCATAATATAACTATTTATTTCAAATTCTAAGTCAATCTCGTACAAAATGAATTACAACTATCCCAGCACAATCAACAAGTACACAACTAACCATGAATGATCATTGAGAAAACAGTTTTTGTTGAGCTCAAATAAGCTCAATGCAACATTGCCTGATTGCCTGGGTGAGACACATTGGCAGTTTACACCAGTATTAGTTACATGTAAACATGATCAAGATTACATGGAAAGGTGGGCTACCTGACCTACAGGTACATTACATCTCTCTACTTCGCATATTCAGGTTGTTACACAAACAGAGAAAGCCAAATACTGATTTAAGGAATGTTGTTGCTCAAGAAAACCAAGCCAATCAGATACGAGAAAAAAAAACTATGGGAAGTTGTGTTTATTGTTTAATGGCTTTGTGGTTTGCTTAAATATCCATATTACAAATGCGATAACTGGTTATTCATTAAAAAAAATAATTGCAAGAATAAATCTGCAGATGTTCACATTTTTCCAAGTTTTAAAGTAATTCTGATTATTGACTTACATGTGAGTTTACACAATTTAAAAATAACATACTTACTGGTTTGAGTTCTGTGACATCCCAACCAAGATATTGAGCTACACTCATCATTTGCTGAGTAATGCATTCCAATTCCTTCACCAAATAAAAATGGAAATTTAAGTTATGAGAATTCCCAACAATACTACAGTAAAGTTATCATACCTACACCTAGTCTTACAGAAACAAATTATGTTTTACCAAAACATTTAAACAAATGTTTGTACATAACAAGGAAAACAGCATTAATTCTTGTTTTACTTGGTTAAATTTCTAACTGTAGAAGTCTTTGTGACGAGTTGCACAACACATGTATTACTTGTGAATTCTTCCGGTGGCTTTTCTTTTTGCATGGATTCTTGAATTTCTAATTCCTTGCCTCAAAATTTCAAACAAAGGTTTTTCATATCTGGGTGAGCTAACAATTTTGCTTGGCCAAAAAAAACAACATATATATTACACACTAAGAGAAAATCATGCCAAACACTTTCTACAATTCAGCATTCCTTGTCAAAGCATTCAGAGTCACTTACAGAAAGAAAATGTCTACAAGAACCATAACCAATAACTGAGAATGAGCATTAACAACTCAATTCAGTTAAAAAAATATGGCAAAATGATATGCACCTGGGAATCTAGATACTCATTTCCATCACTGTCATACACTCTGAAAACAACTGGAAGACAAGAATCACACTTGACACTTACAATAACATCACTAACATCATACATTAAACTAGCTGCAATAACTTAGAGTGAATTTCAATTCACAGTAAAATCAGTAAAATGCAAATCAAGCACCTTGGCAGCTGACGATAAGCCCTGTATTACTGTAATACTGTTCAATATGATGTGATAACAACACCTGTTTATGCATCACCTCAGATTTATATGAAACACAATGGTAACATGTAGCTGTAATCCTTATCACCATTGATAATTAATTAAAAGTGACACAACAAATCAACTTCATTTCCTGACATTTCCTAGAAACACTGCAGCTGTAACTTAAATTTACAAATCATATAGTTCTGCAGTAATTTCATTTCTACATCTTATAACCTTACATGTACATCTACAAAAGGAACTTTCAGTACAAGTGCCAAAATATTCACTTGACAGATTGACAGAAATTAAAATGTCACAAATATGGTAAAGCTGGGAATTGGTACCAGAAATTGGCAAAGAATCAGACAACATACTTGTAACAACAGAGAGATCATAATAAACTACAGGGAGTTTAAGTCTTAAAATTTGTCTTTTGCAATTTTTTTAAGACAAGATGTTGAGTAAACTATTGGTGGCACACCACCATGATAGATAATTATAATTGACAATAAGAATATCAATTATGACAAAGAAACAAAAAACAAACATGACTCGCATACTGCAACTATGAAATAGGACAAATTGTAGAAATTATAAAAGAATGACAAATTAAAGAAACTAACAGCATCAACAAAAGCAAATCATTCCTCATTCTTTGTAAGATCTAAATAAACTTTAGGATCCCTACCAAGTGAAGAACATGCCCTTATTTACCTGCAGTAACCACATTGGCAAATCAGTCTTGGTTACTAATACTTACACTCCAGCTTATCCTCGACTTTTCCACCTTCCAGCATGGAAAGATAACAAGCAATCTCCCTGATAGAAACCATAGGTACTGTTTTGGCCTGTGCATTGGCATTCAGCAGGTTCACTTGTTCACTTGACATTTTCTTTCTCTGTGAACTTGAGCGGGGGTGGGCAGGAGGGTGTTCATTGGCCACTTTAAATGCTGTTGATGGAACAAAATCACAACATGGTTTTGCTGATGTTTAAGACAAAATTTTTCAATACAAGCAAACAGTGAACACCACCTTAAGAGCACTTGCTCAATACTGCTGATTTGTCATTACAGCCACTCCAGTTACTTTGTAATTTTGCAGCAGTTCTTTTCATTAATCCAACATATTGAGGAACATACCCTAACGATAACCTTAAACATTTAACTCCCAGAAGTGACTACCATTTAATGTCTTCCTATAATATCCATAAAGCATCTGGCACACAGGTATTGAGAATACTCAAACTTATCAGGTTCAAGTTAAGTTGTTATCATGACCTAACCCTAAATTCTCATAACTTATTTACAAGGAAATGTATAGCAGCTAGAACAGAGAACTAACAATCAAATCTTGGGAGTTAAAAGGTTGACCCTGATGATGCATCTTGAATATAGTTAGCTTACTATGCACTATCTTGAGTTATCCCTGGCCAGCAAACAAACAAAATACAAGTGAGAGCTATGATAGAACCTTGCTAACTCTACCTCGGTTAAGTTCAACTTTTTATTTGAATAATTAACAACCATTTCCTTCAAGCATATTTTTCTCCCATTCACTTAAATTTTGTACTACTTTCTCACAGCAGTGTGAAGTAGTGGATAATTCTGACCAAATTCCACACTTTCTCTTTCTTGTTGAAAACCATTTATCAGGATCAATGATCTATTTAAAGTCAAACATTGTCCAAGTCAACAGGCATTTAGTTGGAAAAATACCTTTCAGAAAAATACTACCAGGTAATCCCAGGTTTTGCTGTGTTGTGACATCATTAAGTTTTTGATGAAAGACATTTAATAAAATTGTCTGTCTGTAACAATTTTTTTTCTGAACATAGGCATAATTAAGGATAGTTTGTTCCTGTGTCAGGAACAAACTATGGCTTTTCCTCCATCTGAGGACACCCATAACACAAATGAGAAACTGGTGGAAAAAACTTGTGCAACTTTAAGTCAAATCATTGTATTCAGTTCAGAAACTTCATTAAAGGATCATGAAGATGTTTTTCATTTCAGTATGCAAAGACCACACTGATCTTCTTTTCAAAATGACCAGCTGTGCTTTCACTCATACTAATGTGTCATTGGCTCAAAGGAGTTTAGGAACAACAAAATTGTAAGCTTCCCCTTTCTTATGATTTTTATTTAACTTTCTGGTGTGGAACATCACAACAGCCTCTGCTCAAAGAAAAATGTCAAATTCATTTATTTTTTTCCTTGAGGTTAAAGGTGGATATTTGTTTACAGTGTATGTGCAGTACTGCTTTTTACAAATATGTTGGATAAAAATTTTCTTGGTGGTTGGATGTGAAACAAATGGAGAATATAAATCAGTTGATTTCCATTGCTTAAATCAATTTTTCTGGGAAAAAGGAAACAAGGAAACAAGGAAACGTCGCTGCAGTAACTCATTTTGACAGAGGGTTTTTCAATGTTTAAATAATTAAAACATAAAAAAAAAACAGCAATTACAGACCAAAACTTTATGGTGAGATTACATTTTAACATCAATTAAATTGCAATTTCAGCTTTAAAAGATTTTTATATTTTACTTTTCAATTAAGTCACATTGAACAATAATTTAATAGAATTATTTATTTGAGTCTGCTAACACTGTAGCAAAAACATCACAGCACAATTTGTCAAGGAAAGTAATCAACCACTGTACACAATTTCAAAAATGAAGCCCAACACCCCCCAATTTGTCTTATCTTTTAATTCTTCCTAGAGTAATTTTGTATTATTCATTTTTAACTCCATCAGGTTCACAAAAATGGGATAATGTTTAAGGGGTAGCTGTGTAATTCTTTTATTTCTATTTCTCATTATTTGAAAAGCAAAAATCAGTGTAGCTCAAATAAAATTCTTCCTAAAACACCATACACTCAAATTATCACTGTACAAAACGTAACAGTAATTATTTAGTTACGAGGTACAATTATAACTATTTAAATGTTTCCACATATAGGAAAGTTAAGAAACATATCTATTTATTAACACATTCATACAAAAAAAAACCAAAATGCTGATCAATGCTGTTAAAGAAAATGATGTATTTAAAAAAAAAATCAATTAGCATGAAATTTAAAATGGGTTCAATTTGTGATTACAAGCAGCTGTTAAAATGTAGCTACTAACCCATGAACGAGCCACTAGAGTGTCTTCGGAAGTGATGTTTTAAATCAGGTGATTTTCGCCCCCACGTACCAAGCCCTAGAGTGTCTTGAGCAGGCGCTGGTGACAGTGTGAGGGAAGGTTGTATACTGCCTTTAGAATCATTATTATTAGTTTTAACTGTGGGTGATCCATTAGCTTTAACATTGGACTCAGCAACTTCATCATTGGCTTTAGATAGTGTTATTTCAGGTTTATCGCCAACCCCTATTGCAGCTGCTGTGGCAACCAGCGCTGCAGTTCCAGCTCCACTGTGGATACCTGGAATTTCTGAAACTGAATGTGTAGTTAAAGTTTCAAATGAATTAATGTGAGTTAAGAGTTATTTTGTTGACATAATTATCAAATGTAATTTATAATTCTTCCAATGTGTCTTAATGTATGCACATATTGTGTAAATTTAAAACAAATTTTATAAAAGGTGATAAAAACAATATTAACAGACATTACTACAGGACGCACATAATAAGTTATGATTAATAAGTTTCTTCACACCATAAATGTTATGAAAAAGTAAGGACAAATTTATCAATGGCTGTGATGTACATTAAAACAAGATATTCTCCCTCTGAAATAAGAGAAGCGATGCTGAACTTCACTTGATGGTGATGTGGAATGAATGTCAAAAATATTAATGATGGTTCATTATTTATTCAACTCTTAGTTTTGCTTTAGTACCAAAGCCATGATTGAAATTTGAATTGAATTGAACAAATTCTCTTTAATACTCAAGAGAACTTTACTGAGAAAATAAATATGTCAACTTTAAATTTCAGTCTCATTTAAGATAAGTCAAATTTTTTACCATTTATCTCCAAAAAGGGCATTAAAAAGTCATCAATGCAAAAAAGGCTAAAATTCAATCATTATAATGTCATTTTTTTTCTTGTTGGTGTAACAGACAACTGAGGTGTCACATGTAAGCCCATGTATTGTTGCCTGTGTATTATACAATCTAAAATGTGTGCGTGAAAATGAACTGTCAACACAAATGTGAGTTTATGTTCAGTGCTTTCAACAAGATTTGAAATTCATTGTAAGTGGCTTCAAATCAGAGGCTTGAAACATACTGTATTATAGCTTTCACAATAATAATAATATGATTGTGCAATTGAAAATGCATACATGCAATTTGCAAAGGTTTAAATGAAGCCAACAAAATTGTTGATGTTTTCTTTTATGCCCTAATGTACATCAATATTGTGAACCTAATTCAACAGAGGGTTTTCATGGCAGTAAGGAAAAAGAAAAAGAAAGATCCTGGATCCTCAAGGTGTCAACTGCCTTTGTGAAATGTGCAGTTGATAGTGCATGTGCAGCTGTAAAAACAAGGGTGGATGTTGCATACTTGCCTCAGACTTCAGAATTTATTTGTTAGTATACCAGAACACCAGTTATTGAAGCTGCACTCTCATTGGTACAAAAGATGGTGCTTCACATATCTTTTCTAAGTGCACTGTGCATTTTTTTAGCTCTAACAAAACCACCAAATACAAGTATGTACACAATCTTCGCAAACAGAAAATATGAATTCACCATCTTATTCATTTCACAAAATTAGCACACAACTCTTACTTGACTGGTTGATCACTTTTTCAGAAATCCTCCCCAAAAATACCTGTTCACAAATAAACCTTCACTATTTCTTGGGTACGCAATGGATGAAGACTGTCAAATATAAGAATTAGCACACAACTCTTACTTAACAGGCTGATCACTTTTTCTGAAATCCTCCCCAAAAATATCTGTTCATGAATAAACTTTCACTATTTCTTGGGTATGCAATAGATGAAGACAGTAAAATATAAGAAACTTGAAACAATAAAAAATTTGGTGAGTCTGGAATGGTATCATTCATGATCTGCTTTCCCATACAAAAGCATGTCATTTAAAGTACATGAGATGGACATCTTGATTATCTCTTAGACAAAGAAGATTTGCAAATCATACTTATGTTTTACTTACACTAAGTAAAAACCAGGCAATTCTTAATCTAAGTTTGTTCAACGATTAGAACATGACCTGCAGTGAAAGCCAATGGCAAGAAAGTACTTACGTCTCCTGTCATGTTTGTTAAGGTCTTGTTGGGAATTGGATGCAACCACTGATACAGCCACACTATCTATGATAGTTTGTGACAGAGATGGAGACTGCACAGCGACTTGTTTATGGAATGCCCAAAAGAGATGTTCACATAAATCCTCACTCACATTACTACCAAGATAAGCAGACATAAATAATTTGAATCCCTCATAGTCCATTGGCTGAAAAACAAAAAACACCAAGAATGAACAGCTGGCACTTAAAAACTTGAGGCTTTAAAAGTTAAAAGTGATCCAAGTAAATTTAAAGATTAATGCTTTCTTATCAAAATGTTCCTAAGGTCTTAAAATGCCAATATTTCTTTTTTTCTCCTTCCATTTCTTCCTTAATAAAAGAATTTTCTTAAGAAAAATATATGTACAATTACTTTGTTCTTAAAATTTGCTGTTCCATGTACATTGTGCATGTATCACTTCAGCCCAGAACATAAACCCTAATGATTGAATTTTGTCACTTTCTCGTTTTCTAAATTTGTACTTTTTTTGTACTCCACATACCTTAAAGTTTTGTATTTTTGATTGACTTTGAAAATTTACACTATTTCTGATGGAGCACAATTGTTCTTGCACTGAGGGAACTGTACTGTACAACCTGGTAAATGTCTTCCATGAAAACCATTCAAGCTGATTGATCAGTTCTTAACATTAGCACGTCTTGAAATGTTTCACAAGTATAAACTTTTGCAGAGCTTTTACTTGATGGATTATCTTAAATTACTATCAGCAACATTTTTTTAATATGTACATAATCACATTGACTTTCACTTGTTAGAAGTGATTATTCATTTACTAAACATCTGGGAAAATATTGAAATTACTGGAAGACTGACAAAAATAAGCATAAGGAAGGTTTTCAGTACTTTTTAACTTTGTTAAACCACACAAGATGTGCAAGTTGTAAACAATCTACAGTGCTTGTCTAAGAAAAGCCATGCGGCCATTGGAGGAGAGTCCATGTAATTCTAAAATACTCTTGTGAAAATTACATGCCCAGAAAGAATCACTTCATAAGTACAAAAATTACATTTTCAGATATATGTTTATTGGCAGAAAAATTAAAAAAGTTAACAATGCAAGTATATTCCCTGTAATGTTAGACTTAAAGTTAGTGTTATTGTATACATTCTGATTCATGAAAAAGCTAACTAGAATGATTTCAAGTTCTGGCTTTTCTAGCTCAAAATCAATTTGCCTCCATTTTAAATGTTCTCCTAAAGAAGATAGTTGTATTTGTGAGATTCTTCTTCATGTAACACCTTTCTTAACTCTCAAATTGCCTTTGCTGATAGGAAAAGCCCTGATATTTATTGAAGCTCACAGGAAATAATTGGGGCAAAAAATTTTTCTATAGGACTGTAAGATAGTGGACTGTACCAGTAATTACTTTGGAACATACACAACAGTATGTGACCAAAACACCTTATGATTATCTAGCTCACACTCTGCTTCTTGTTGATCATTACAAGAAACAATATCTATTTGACACCTATAAGTGTCAATTTAGAAGAAGTCAGTGCCCCAACTCACAGCGTGACATAGACCCTTTGAATTGTTGTTGATAATCATGAACCACCAAACTGTATGTGAGTGTTGCTGCCACAAAGTTTTTTAAAGGGTCCATCAGAAAAAAAATTGAATCTGATTAAAAAAAAAAATCACATACCAAATCTCACATGTAAATTTCAAAGGTAGAAAGTAACAATTATTGTGTGCACAATTACACATTTGCAGCTGCATCATTTTTCAAGAAAAAGAAGGTCAAATGTTGCATGGCTTTAAAGAAACTTTTTTATGAATTCTATCAATAATGACAACCAAAAGTTTTGACATGTTCAAGTACATTCATGTAAAATTATGGTAGACTGTCATGTCAAAAGAATTGGAATAATTATTTATGAGGGTTTAAATGTTAAATATTACAGCATGTGGGGAACAAAGTGTATTGACACTTACCTTCTCTGGGTTATACTGAGGATAAACCCCATCGCGGAACTGTTGAAGAACATCTGTCAATCGACGTGTCTTGGCATCTAGAGGTTTTAAAAAATGGTGTTTAATTAAAGAGGAGACTTGATCAAAAGCTAAATGCAAAATAGAAACAGAACAAACTGTACAATGAATACCACATGGAGATGTCATTTTAAACTGTATTCATTACAAATGAAAATCACTCAACAGAAGAAGCAGTATTTATAAATGCATAACATCAAAAAAACACAAATAATTTTCATTAGCAAAACAGCTTTGATTGCAACTGTTTTTATTTAGTCACCATTTTGGAACATACATTGCAATACTCAGAAATTTCAATCTGTGGATATTCAAATTACTAATGATTCTTTTGTAACAACTAGGAATGAATAATGCTTCAGAATGTTTGTTCCCAGAATGAGTTACATGAGTTACATGTAACATCTGACATTTATAAAATGTCTCCCATTAAAATCATAACACATTTATCATAACAAAAATCATTAACACACATTATACTTTTGTCTAAAAGCTTTACAAGAACTAAATATCAAACCTTTCCGAGAAATTTCTCAATTTATGAAAAAGCCATGCTACCGTAATTGCAAAAAAGAGTCTAATTGTCTTTAAGAGGAAACAAAAAGGCTTGATAAAGTTTACTTGGTTGCTATTGGCTGACACATTCTCCAGAACAGTAGGGAATCATTAATACAACCAACCACATTTATAGATGTAAAACATGAAATAATGAAGCATATATTAAAATTCATCAATTAAGCACCTAGCCGAGAATTGTACATGACGTGTATATTTAGAAAGTTAGTGAAATAAGCGAAAGAACATGTCGTCTCTAGATAAAAATTCTCACATTCATTCACTAATGCTGGTAACACAAAATTTACAACAACATTTAATCCCATATTTATAGAGTAACAGACTAACATGCATTGTGCTTGGTTTTATAAGCATAGGCCTGATATAACACAACTACACAGCAGTTTAATAAACAACTACAGGTAATTCAAAGGGTGTTGACTTGAATATTGAAGACTACTTAATGCCACAGTTGATAGAAAACTTAACAGCAATTTGAAGAAAACTTTCAAGAATCATCAACCATAATAATTTACAAATTTGAGGATGGCTTCCCAAAAATTTATTGAGACAAAATTTTGATAATGTTTTCAAATGTCCTTGCCATTCATATTGAGTGAAAAGAGTGATATTTTGTTTGTCAACCCGTGTTTGTATGCCAAAAGCTATAAATATTTTATGACAACACTTAGACATTTCTTTGGATAATATTAAACACTGGTGGGTGTAACTGGAAAATTCAAGAAATATAATTGCTTGAAAATCTAAAATTTTAAAAAATCTTACCACAAAAAGAAAAGATATTCTAGCAGTTTATTTTGAATGAATATAGTCAAACATTCTGAGTGAGTATATATCACAAAGAAACGCAACCTAGCTCTTATCTTCCCTAAACGAGAAGGAGATATAAACGCGTGTATTTGAACAAGTCAACCTTTCCTTGTAACCACAAATCAGAAGGGAAGATTAAAAATCAACTCAAAAGTTTTCGTTTTAGCTCCCGGATATAAAAGATTCGAAAGAAACCGCCAACAAGTCGTGGACATAATGTGTCGCCATAAACTGTTCATTTAAATTGCGTCAGGAACATTTAAATAATATGAAAAGCAAAAAAAATTGATAATAATAAATGTGACATCGTAGGAAATTTAGTATTGAGAAAGCGTTTATGAAAAATGCTCTTTTGGCTGGGGAACATGAGGATCGAAATTGAGAAAATTGAAATAATAAAAATACGACAGCGAACAAAAATGCACCGAAAAACGTCCACCGAAAAAAAAATCAACCAACACCGCACATCAATAACACCGCATATCTCAGAATTTAAATTTTTGTTCGTCTATTACTACAGAGGCAACGAAGGGCTCGAACAGAAAATACTCTCACGAGAACACCCACCCAAATCTTCCCTTGTCTTTAAAAATTACGAACATTATTGTTTATACATGTGAAAATTAGACTAATAACACTAGCCGCCATATTATTACTGGAAGAACACCTAAGAGCATAAGGCTTAGTGTAATACTAAAGTATTAAAATCCGGATTCGTTTTTCGTTAGGCAATCTACGTACGTGTCCAGCGTTTTGTTATCAACTCAAAATGGAAATGTAGTTAAAGAGTATCACTGAAAAATAACAATATTTATGTCACTTTTTTCAGTGCACACCATAGGAAAGACATGTAAACACGGAGACCCCAGTGTAACCTTCATCTCATACCGTATTGTATGGCGTTGTACGCAGTATTTCTTTGATTAAAATTAAAAGAGTACACCACGAACGACTCTCACTTCAGATTATATCACTTCGGCCACGTTAATATTTTATTGTGAAATAATAAGGCATCAGTATGGTCTCGTATGCTAATATCCAAAAGGAGAAATGGCATAGAAATTTTGAATATCGGAGATAGCTATATACGAAATTCGAACGGCATGATTCATCCGTAACGCCACGGTTTGTATATCACTAAACAACACCAAACATTAACTGCGCGTTAAAGTACTTTGTTAACCAAAAGGACAAAGAAGGGAGGAAAATCTCTTACACTTAGTGTACTCCTGGAGCTGTTGAAACTCTTCTGGAGACAATCGATTCCACACTCCCGTCGCATTCGGGCTTCCAGATGTATTTGATTGAGTGACAGTCGCCATTTTTACCTCAAACAATGACCTACGGCCGACCTTCTTCTTCTATTCGCAATCGGCATTCGTTGGATGAGCATTCTGAGCGATGGGGAACGCCGAAATAGATCAAACCCGACTTCCCACAACGAGCTTCACCTGCAAGCCATAATACACTATTAGTGTTGTAAATGTATTCACATGTATGTCTTCCCGAGATCGTTTCATTTCTTGGCAGTGTACGGAAAGTAAACAACGGCGGGAGACTGGAAATGACTGTTGCGCCTGTTACTTTCTCTATGTCTTTACTTAACACGAAATCAGAGTAATGAACGCTTCTCTGAGGCTCTATCGCCGTATTCTAAAGCTACATAGGAACCTTCCTCTAACAGCTAAGGCTTTAGGAGACCAGTATTTAAAAGATGAGTTTAGAAGACACAAAAATGCTACACGAGAACAACTCACAGAATTTATCCAAGAGTGGAAGGTAACTTGCTTGCACTTCTCGCCAAGTATTATGTAACGAAAACGGTCTTATCGAGAAAGTAATGGTCGTAGTTTTGGAATTGTGGAATCCTATTACACAACATGAATTCGTTACTAGATAAAAGTTTTAGAATGTATCTATTTACAGTGATTTATTATCTACTCTGTAAATTAGGTCTAGCTGTACGTGACCGGAAGCACAGTAATATTATGTTTTTTTTCATTCCTTTTCTTTTAATTTTCGCCGCACCACGTTGAGAGACATTTGTATATTACTCTTGAATAAGAAAAGTGCTAGTTATATTCAAGTGTCAATAATTTCAAGCAGTTTGTTAAAAGGTGCGAGTTTTGAATAATGAGGGCGACTGTGGCACGTTTCATACTATTAGTAAGCTCAAGGATTGGATATTTCGCTTTATAAAATAATCCAAATAGTACGCGCGCTCTGATTGGCCATAAAACCATTTTACATGAGCGTATGTAAATACGGTTTTCGTTCCTCTTTCATTAGTTATTTTATAAAAGAACTGTAAAATGGTTTCTGTGTTTACATAGCCTGATGTAAACACTTGGGTGGTTGGGAGAGCACTCAACAAGCTGGAAACCACTCCGCTTCATGTCGTGGTTTCCTACACTTATCTCGTGTTCTGCCAACCTCCCGCGTGTTTACATCAGGCTATGTAAACACGGAAACCATTTTACATTTCTTCATTATCATCCAACTGCACAAAGTAGAGTACAAATAACACGAGAATAGAGTACAAATATCCTGCGATATTGTACAGTTATTTGGACCGTTGGTTATTTTTTGCAGTAAAAAAACCTGTTTAACTAGTCAGCTGAGCGTGCTATAACGGTAACATATAAATGGTAACAAATCTTACAATCTGATTGGTTCTTAGCATGGTCAGTAATGCTTTTGTGAGTCACAGAGAACATCCCTAGCTTTCTTGCCATTCTTCTTAAATAAATTTTGTTTTTCCAGCTGGGCATTATTTTGAAGCAAAGTATTTTTTAACAAATGAAGCCGATTAATAACTTATTGTCTCTTTTCTCACTTTAAAATCTCTTTGGTTGCCAGCTGAAAATTGTTTTCTAGAAATACATGGGCAAGAGTTACTTTTTACTTCATAGGTCACTTCTACAAGACAACTGAAATAAAATATTTATGCCCAAACTCAGCCTTACCAATGCATAATAATTTAAGATTCCTCTGTCAACATAAGAAGTAAAAATGACATAAGATGGCATTCTGTGTGGTTTAGGAAGCTTTCTAGCATCAGCAGTGTTAGCTGAGATAAAATAGTAGTGGGCCATTGAAGCTAAAATTAAAAGAAACTAAAGAGGATTTAGTTAAATTTTATGCTAGAGTTTCTATGGAGAAGTTTGCTCCAAGGACAAAAGACATGGAACAATTGGGCTTACATCAACTACCACCCCAAAGCAACCAAAACTATCCATTAACGAAACTTTTAAAGATGCTCTCTGAAGTAGCCTGTTTTATTTATTATTGATGCTGCAATGGGGTGGAAATCAACCCATTGAAACATACAACATCTAATATCTTTGAATTTTAAAACTTCCAATGCTCATCTTCATCACATTTTGGAGCCTTGGCTTCTGTGAAATCACCATCAAACCAGCTAGGGTTGGGTGAGGGTTGTCTTTTCTGTATGTATCCTCTTTTTCTGTGAGTAATCTCAATCATAGCTGTTAACCAGACCCTACACCACTTGCTGACAGGAAGGTGAGTCCCAACGCACCTACTTTGTGAATAATGGATTCTTCAATTTTTTATTCATTTGTAGATGTATGCTGATATGTTAGAAAGACAGCAAGAACTAGGAAAGGACTTTGGAAGCTATTTATCAGAAGATCAATTGTCAAGTGCGAATGATGAGCAGTTATGTCAGCTTTACGCACTACACCAAGAAATAGCCACTGACTCAGACACAACCAAAAATCATTAGTTCTTAAATGGGTATGAACTAAATTTGTTGGAGAGTCTCATATCTTGTGCTTTGGTGGAATGGAAAATGGTGGGTACCATCAATAAATGAGCAACAGCAGTCAAGACTTCAAAAGAATACTTCACTGACAGTGTGAAATAAACTAAGGATTGTCATGTCCATTCATGGATCCAGAATCCTATGGTTCATGTTCTATTTATAGTTGTGTATTTGGCCAATCAGAGTAGGTGTGTACATGTATCACTTAAAGTAAAACTATGAAAATTAAAGAGTGATGGTGTTGCCATCAAATTTGAACATTCTTGTGCATGTTTATGCTGTGGTTCAAATTTTCTCAAGGTGTGAAATTTTTCAAAACAGCTTAATCCTTTTTTTCGTCATCTGTAATACTTATGATTACAAGAGTCAACGGAAATAATAATCAAGCTAGTTTGAAAAAATTCAAACTAAGGAAAAATTTGAAATTCTTTTACCATATGTATAAATTTTTTTTGTATAATATGCTAATAATGCAGATGAAACCTTGAACACATGGAAATAGTTCTGTGTGAGAAAAAAATAAATTTTTAATGAAGCAAATTAAATATGTGCACCATATCAATAGAATATTACAAAATGCATGCTGTGAAAAATTGCTATTGTTCATATCTTCTGACATTATAATAATTTTTCTCTCTGGGCATGAAATGACAACAACCAAAACCCAAACTTGAAATTGTAACAATCTTATATTCTTGCAACAGAAATTAAATACTAAGACATGAGGCATATGTATCAAAAAAAAATATTGTGCATACATGCAACAGTCTGTAAAGTAGTAAAGTACCCTTCTTCTGGAAACCTTCTTTTGCAATTGCTTGTTCAAAAAGTAGAACATGACAAAAAAAGAGAACTATTATTTTCAAATTTCCTAATTTGTTGGGTGATAGGGAAAGGAACCACATGGAAGTTGAAATATAGATCAGTATTTTGAGTTGGTTGAGATATGAAAAATTTATTTTTGCAATGATTGATTTGCATGCACATTTTGTAAAGGTTTTTCTCTTGGACCAAGGATAACCCATAAATTAGGATAAAATAAAACCTCACAAAATGTTTATGTAACATGATAGTCATAAAAATTACAGTTACATTTCTGCTACTTAACATATGAGAATTTCCACAGCCATTTGGTGGATCAGAAGTAGTTAGTTGATGAACTTCTTAACAGTAGGTTGTAGAAACATAATATTATATAGTGTAGTTGCTAGGCCAATCACAAATGGTGCAAGTGCGGTCAACTTTGTGTCAAGTCCCTTTGGAGGAAGTGTATTTCTCATAACCTAAACAGGCATCTCTCATTGAGTTCATAAAGGTTGGCACTCCAGTCTGAGGATAAATAAACAAAAAATTAACTATGACATGCAGAAAACTTAAATGAATACATCATTAGTATTCTTGGTACCTCAGGGTGCCATGAAGTCAAGGGCAATAGTAAAGTTTTTGGAACACATCATCCAATCTCAGGATATTATTAATAGAGAACTCTTATTTGACAGTAAAGAACATGTACCAGTATTCCTAGGTTGTATTTTAAAAGTCTAGGAGAAGTGATCCAAACTTTCTTTTCAGAATATATAATGTGTGTCATAAATAGCTTTATGTGCATTCTTATTTATTAGAGCAAACCTTTGCAGCCCAGTTAATAAGCCAAGTTGGGATACTTCCTCCAGGATTGTCAAAGTAATGCATGAATGCTAGAAGAAGTTAATAGATAAATGTCTCAGAATACCACTGGTTTTTTTGTTACAAACGGTAGTGCACATTGATAAAAACTATTTTAGGTAATTTAGGCAAGCATAGATAGTTCTTGAAATGAGTTTCTCTCAAGGGTGCAAGATGCTCTTTTAAAGTCATGCAAAAAATTTCATGTAATTACTTTGATACATAAGCCACCTGTTCAGTACCTTTTGTTCCTACTTTACCATCACTCTGAATTACTAGACTTTGGTGAAATTCTTTCACTCTCACAACCCCTGATTTTTCTGGAATCTTGGAAAGTGAATTACTTTCAGCTAACACAACAACAGATGGAATACTGTTTATTTCCATTTCACGCATTTCTCGTGTGTATACATACTGTCAAGAGTAGAATTTGAATACAGAATTTTTTTGTCAAGGAACATAAATGCACAAGAGAAATTAAGCTATACAAGCTTTTCTAGTGGTTTATCTGCAAGTCTTTGGGGTGCAGATCAAATCTCCTGGTCTTCCATCCACTTCTTTAAATCTCCCAGTTCATGGCAAATTTGACATTTATTAAACATAAATGTGAAGAAATCAATGACAAGCAATTTTATCCACATCAATAGTAATTAAGTTTATTTTCTACAATGGTTGTATTTTTTGTGAAGAAATGTTTTATACTTTTGATTATGTGCCTCCATTGTCAGTAAGTGGGGAGAGACTGGAAAAAAGAAAGTGAATCAACTAACTGTGGGAGTGGGGTGGGAGTGGATGTGGTCCAAAGTTAAACATCTTCCAATTCCAGGTTTAAAAAACTTAAGAGAGGCTTTATTCTAAGGATGGTATGGACCAAACCAGCTTTAATTTAACATTTAGAGCCTGATTACCCTTGTGTATTAAGTGGCAGATGGCAATAGTAATTACATGATGGCAAAGAGGATAAGGATTGCTAGAGGGATAATGACAGATACAGTGAAGTTTGCATTTAGTGCATGGCCCTTATTGATTGAAAAGCACTTTTTAATTTCAAAATTAGGAAAATTATGTGGAAGGTT